AGCCACGTAATCTAATATTCTACAAGTTGCCCAGTTTCACTGAAGCCCTAAATGTGATGCGCGCGGCTGCGTGCGGAGCTAAACTGATGGTATGTATAAAACTGTAGAGGAAGCGAAGAATTTCCTCCACTGTCGTAGACTATGGTCACTTGTCTGTAGGAATTATGTGGAAAACTCGGTCGCAAGTGAGCGTTCCTTCCGTGGTGTGGCCCCAAACATGCCTCCTCGTCATGCCCTTGTGGAAAGTTCAGATTTTTTGCATTTCCAGATGAACTCGCAGACCTGAAATGTGCCCCGTTAGCTTCCCCGTGAAAAATGCTATCGAATGATATGCATTACTTCCCCCAGTTGAAACTTTGGTTTTTCACCGTTTTCAGCCTTCCCCTATTGCCGACTATCCCACGATTACTGCCCCAAAATCTCAAAGTTTCATTTTTCGTCGAAACTTTGTCTATTGGGGTAATTCGATGCCCTGATTACGAATATGACATTCATTTTTGATGCTGGTGTCATTTGGCGCCATTTGGCGCCAAATTTGGCGCCACGGCTGTTTTCACCAAATCTGCTGAAACTTCGTCATTTGGGGTTATTTGGGGTCCTGATTACGAAAACGACACCCGTTTTTGGCGCCACGCTGTTTTCACCAAATCTGCTGAAACTTCGTCATTTGGGGTTATTTGGGGTCCTGATTACGAAAACGACACCCGTTTTTGGCGCTGGCGCCATTTGGCGCCACGGCTGTTTCCACCAAATCCGCTGAAAACGTGTGTATAGGGGTTATTTGGGGTCCTGATCACGAATATAACATCCAGTCTTGACGCCGGCGCCATGTGGTGTCACAAACAACACTTCACAGTCAGAGCGTACTCTTAGGCACCTTTCTCAGAGCGCCGACTGTCAGACCGTGGAAAAGGTCATCGAATCGGAGACTTTCCCACGACAGGAAGGAGCCAGACCGTGGGAAAGGTCATCGAATCGGAGACTTTCCCACGACAGGAAGGAGCCAGACCGTGGAAAACTGTGAGCTAAGCCAGAAGCATATTTCACGTTTTCACTGGAGATGCCTGTATGCGTTGGGCAGAGCAGCAATTCGACTGTAAGCTCTCCAGCTGTCACTGAGGATGGTAGTACCGTGCTCGATGTACTACTTCATGATGAGCCGCAGTAGAGTTGAAACGTCTTTCCTTCGGACCATCCGAAGGAGTCCACTTCCTCTTTCAATGCCTCCAAACAGCCACTTGTGCCTGCGTACCCAACGTCGGCGGTTGTATAACCAGTGTTTCGTCAATTTCCATCTCGCACCCGAACCTTCCGATGATCGGCGGGTTCCTCCTGAAGTGCCCCACACATACGTCGCGGAAGAACCGCTCCCACTGAATTGAACTGGTGTGGCCGACGTTGAGCTCGTATTCCTTGTCCTTCACCTTGCCCATGTCGCGCAGCCAGAACTACGGCAGTGCGAATACCGCGGACTTAGGAAAGTTACAGTTCTCGGAAAAGGAGT